TGAGGGCATTGGAATTATGTCTAAAAATAGAATACTAATTTTAAGGTGTTAAGTAAATGATGGAACGGAAGCGACGATAAGTTCCAGTTGCATCTCCTCAGTCTCTTGGTGGTAATGCTTCATATATTAACTTTACAAGAAATTATATCTTTTGGTTTGATAACCATCCAAGCGTTAGAGCAAATTTTAGTAATTATTACATAGTTTTACTCTGAAGGAAGAGGTATTCAGCAAAAAAGAAAAAAGTCTGTTTTCATGTGCTAAGTATTAGGTGGATGTTTTTGCAGGGGAAAAAAGGTGTCTGGATTAAAATGCCTATTGAGCTTGTAAATCTTGTTGAGCCGGCTGTTAAGGTTAGTTTGTTCTCTTGTTCGAATTATTTTGGCACAGAATCTTATCCTAGTAAAAATGAGGAAGCTCGTGACAAAATGCCATGTTACTTCATTGCCCACCATTTTTAAAATTTTTTTTTTTTTTTATAGCCAATATTTTATTTTTCAGGAAGGATTTTATTATCACCATGCTGAAGCTAAATACATAATGCTTGTGCATTGGCTTCCTAGTATTGCTAATACTCTGCCAGCCAGTGCCTCACATCGAGTCGGTATCGGTGCTTTCGTCGTGAATGAAAAGAACGAGGTATCAATTGTTCTTTGTGTAACACATTATCTTCTTTGGTTTAGTTGGATGCTCTGGTTGTGTATTCAGTCCATTTAGCATTTCTAAATGCTCTGGTTGTGTATTGAGTGCATTTAGCATTTCTAAGGGGTTTACATAATAGATATCAGTCTCGAGATATCAGACTTTGAGACTTCGAGTACCTCTAAAAAGATAACCTGTGATGTTTGCTAAATCTGGATAATATGTAGAAATCAAACTGGCTTCAAGGCACATTATTGTGTCAGTTTCCTCAGGACAATATCTGCCTCTCTATATGAGTTATCCACTGGTTATGCAAATGCACCTCTAAAATACAATGAAGAAACTTGAACATCTTAGATATTAGTCCTTAACCTCCTCCTGCCCTTTTATCGGCCCACTGTTGTGCGTGTGTGGATGATAAAGTGCCCTGACATAATAGTCCATAACCTCTTGCAGCCCTTTTTATGCATGTTTCTCAGAAAAGATGCAAATGATGCTGTACTTGGTTTTCACTCTGCATACGTATCTGCATGGATATTTGATATTTTGTTTCTTGTGACCTTGTATTAACCTCTCAGCACCTGTACTAGGTTCTAGTTGTCCAGGAAAAGAGTGGAACCTTCGGTGGAACGGGTGTCTGGAAGTTCCCAACAGGAGTTGTTGATGAGGTATGTCCTACCAGTAATTTTATTGTCACATTTAAAGAAAAATTATAAAAGGAAAAAGTGCCAGAGGCCCTCCTTCATTTGTATTTTATATTCACAGGGTGAAGATATATGTGATGCCGCAGTAAGAGAAGTAAAAGAAGAGACAGGAGTAAGTGTGATGTGCACAACTTATACGTTATGTTCATAATTGGATTTACATTTTCAGTATTTGTGCATGAAATCCATTAATAATGCTGTTCTTTACTTGGTTCTATTTCCAGATCGATTCAAAATTTGTAGAAATACTGGCATTCAGGTACTTCCCTGCCCAAAATCATTTATTTCATGTATTTGTAGTATTGGCTATTTTCTTGTTTATATGCTATACATACTTGGCTATCATCCAGTACCTTTTGGGACCGGTATATGCCTGTTTACTATCATTGTTAGTTTTCTATTGCTTTGTATACCAAGTAAATTCATGCCATGGTTTCCAGACAGAGCCACAAGTCATTCTTTGATAAGTCAGATTTGTTCTTCGTGTGCATGATGCAACCACTCTCCTTTGACATCAAGCCCCAGGAAGCAGAGATAGAGGCAGCACAGGTATATTCAGTTGGCATATTATATCAATTAAAGAAGTTATTTTCTCAGAAATTTGTTGAGTATCTTATTATCATAGCCACAGTGTTTGTTTTCCAAGTCCAGATGCAAAAACCAAGTTACTTTCTCTATTTAGGATAATGCATGATTGCATGTAACCCCACTTCCTCTTCTCTATTTTCAGCTGATTTCCCAAGCTTGGCATATGCAACACGTTCTTTGATACATATAAACACAAAGGAACTTTGCACCTAGATCCCTCATTCTAAACTCAAAAGAATGCTTGGATCCTCACTCAATTTTTCTTGGTATTTGGGTCCCTCCCCTTTAATCAAGTAGCATTTGGATCCCCACAGATGATTTCCTTCCAAAATTACCTTTAACTGGTCATGTGCCTCACATGCGAGACATTGTTCCAAGGGCTTTATGTGTGGTTCAAAGTAGAAAAACAATTTGTCATTTACCACCTGCCAGCTGAACTAGGTAGAGCTTTGGCACCAATTTCATAAAAGCCATTTGACCTTGAGGTGTAGGAGCAGGTTTTCACAACTTCCATTGAAGTGATAATTTCATAGTATTATGAATATATGGCACGACTTGGTCGCTTTCATGTGGGGAATTCTTGTTTGAATAGTTTTTCTGAATCTACCTATGGCATTTGAGTAATTCTTTAGAATTCTCTTAGAACAATTCTCATGGAAGTAAAGTTATATGTACATCTTGCAAATACCGAAATCTAAAAAAATGTTTCAGTAATTAAAAGAAAAATCTTATTTGAGCTGTTTATTTCTTTTCAGTGGATGCCATACGAAGAATATGCGACCCAACCATTTGTTCAAAAACACGAGCTTCTTAGGTATATTGCTGATGTATGCAGAACAAAGAAAGATGGAGGGTATTCTGGATTCTCCGCGGTGCCTACAGTAACTAGTTTTTCTAAGAAGAAAAGCTTTTTGTATGTAAACAGGCAAGATGTAGATTCGTAAGATTTGTTTGTACTCGACACATTATTGAATGACAGATTTGCAAAATAAAGGACTTCCTATAAGTCTGGAGGTTCTCAAATTGTATAGACACAAACTTTTAAGGATATCTTGAATGTAAGGAGACGAGTCTCATATGAAATATTGATTAATGTTATCTAGACTCACGAGTTGTGATATCAATTTGCCAATCATGGTCATTTTGATTGCTTTTTCATATATTTTTTTTCATTTCACGAAACAAGACCAACTTTGTCTAATCTCAGCCTTATACTTCACTACTACAAAAAGAAAAGATTTTTATCGAGAAAGAGTGCAATCGTGTCAATAAAAATAGATGGGGCAGGCTTGACAAATTAACTCAAACTTGTATGCCTGTTTACCAAAGACATGGACGTGGATTGTATAATAATTTATGATTAAAACAATTCGTAAGGGATAATGTTAGGCTACCAACCTAAAACCATTACCCTTCCATTTCCCACCTCCTGAATTTCTACTCTACATAATGAAGAAGGCGACATTAAATCTAAGTTAAAAGCAAAGATCAAAAAATAATTATATTATTTATTGAGGCCAAAATAGTCATTTCAACTTACTGAAAAGGGCATATGACCATGCAGGCACTAGTATAAAACCCGAAGGTGGTAGCTAAATTTTCATTGTCCCTTCATTCCTTCTTGCGTTGATACAAAGTTAGTAAGCAAAAATACAAGAGAATGAGTCATTTTTGTAGCATGGATTCTCTTGTGAAGATGGTGTTCTTCAATTTCATACTCTTCTTTTGTCTCGGGACAGCTATGGCCGAACAGGGGAACTCCATTATTGAACCATCGAGTAGGAAAGACTCGATAAATTGGGCTGGATATGGCGAAGAAAAGCTCTCAACGGTTGTGATCAGTGGCAAAGTTATTTGCCACAGCAAAGCTTCTATGCAGACGAATCCTATTTCAGGTTCGTTATTAATTCTATGATTGGATATAGCCTCTATTTGGTATGGATTAAGATCAAGTCGAAGTGAACAATTAATTTCAACCATATATTTAAGAATATTCATAACTTTTCAACCACACATTTCTTCAACTTTTATCAAAATTTACTAATAATTTGATTTTATTCCCTACCAAACGGGGGCAAAATTTAACGTAGAAATTTAAGATGTTCCAAATTCTTGTTGGAATCTGGAATTTGACTCCTTGCAATAATATCTGCTTAGTTTTTCCCTGACATATACATGACAAAGCAACCCATTTTCTCTCTCTCTCTTTTTAATCAAGTGTGTTTGCGAAAGTGGAAAGTCACCTACTCTGTCTCAAGTGCTCCATTATATTTGGTGCTTAATTTCTTTCATTTATAGTTGAGAAATGAAACCTTAAGTCAAATACAGATTAGAATGTCTGAAAGTAACAGCCCACGACACGGATTTCTTGTATGCGCCAAATTCTAGTACATGCAAGTTGTGATTCGAAAACCTAAATGACTTGTCTATTAGGATGGGCAGTTCTGTCAAGTACTGATTACCAAAACGTGCTTTAAAAGTGTGTGTATGTATATGTAGGTGCTTCGGTGGCTGTTTTATGTGGCACCCCCGGAACGACAAGTAAATCATGGGCAGAGGGCACGACGGATGATCACGGGGAATTCTTCCTTGATCTTCCTTCCCATCTTCATGCAATTCCAAACTTGGAAAGAATCTGTTGTGTTAAAGTTCATCATCTGCCAGAGAGTTCTCCCTGCCAGCAATCTTTCACTGAGAAACATAAAGGTATAAAACTGACATCAATTGGTGAAGGCATCCGTACTTACACAACACATAATATTCATTTGGTGCCTCACAAGGGCGCATGATAGATGGACACAAGACGAGAGTTATGGTAGATGTCATGTAAGAAAATGAAGAATTGAGTTAACAAGCAGCTCGTGTGGATGGCGCTTTATTCGCAATATGAGTCGCCAGTGCGTGTAGCATGGAGTGTGTGTGTGTGTGTGTGTGTTGATGGGGATGGGGATTTAAATAGCTTGTGTACACAAAAATGTATCTAGTTGTAAAAGAAACCGTACCTTCAAGCGAAAGGGAGCTGCCACAAGTTCTTCAACATCAATGATGTTCTTCTGTCTTGGCAATAATGATAAAGCCGAATAAGGGAAAAATTTTATTAATGATCATAACGATAGCATGTAAATCAAGACTATAAAAAGATAGGTAAAGAAGAAAGTGAACAAAGTTGTTTTAAACTGAGATAAAATTCAAGAAATCTTGCATTCAAGAGTAGTTTCTACGAAAATCTAAGAGAACAAAATTTGAAGGGACTCTTGAATACATGAACATACTGAAACACAAGATAGTTAATGTATAATACAATTAAAAATCTCTCAAATTTTCTGATCAGCAGTAGAAATGACATATTTAGCAACATCGGCACAGCATTTAAGCTTGTCTGCTTCGGCGTCAGGTATCTCAACAGAGAATTCTTCCTCAAAAGCCATAACAAGTTCAACTCTATCAAGGCTGTCGAGGCTCAAATCCTTCTGGAAATCAGCTTTTTCAGTAACCTGTGGTGTATAAAAACATTGTGTTATTGTAATTTAACTCGTAACAAAACAAGAAACGTCTTTAGAGTTGGCAGTTGGAGATGGAAAAAATATATGATCAGGGAATACTTGACTAATTACCTTAGCAGCATCTATCTTGTCAAATTTCTTCACCAGCTTAATCACTCGATCCATTACCTGATCATTGCTGTTACTCAAGATTGTGCTGCATGTTCTCAACTGTTGGCCATCTCCGTACAGTGCACTCAATTCGCCTGCTATTAGTCGCTTGGTTGTGAAGACCCTAACCCTCACATGGTTCAAAATAGAATTTCGCAGGCTTTGCATATTCAACTATCCAGTAACAAGTGAAATGTTCAAAAAGGTCAGTTTTACAAAGCAAAAGCACGGAAAACTTGTGGATAATTAAACAAAATAAGCAAATACAGAATGATTTATGTAGAAGATCAACGAGGAAAGAAAAGTAGTCAAAGGTGAAGTCAGGGTGCGTTGATTTCTTCTTTTTCTACAAGTACTTCAAGATTATAAGAAACGATTTGCAACACATGCTAAACAAAAGACTTCAAACATGGACCCAGGAAGTGATATCCGTTGTCCACTCCCAAATTCGGTACCAATTACAAATGCATGTCCCTGTCTGACATGTGACAAAAGCTGAAAGAGTTCAAATAGCAATACAATACGAACTTATGAATTTGAGCATTCATCTTCGTAAAATGTTCCAGTGATTGATAGCAACAAAACTATTAAAAACCACAGACATGTTTTCCTATAATGCAGAAACTGATCCAGCTTTTAACTAGAAATTCTGATCTGGTCTTGATGCATGCTGTCGTGAGAAGCCACAGAAGCACTACCTGTAGTTTTCCCTTGTGGTAGCTCAGTCTAGTACTTTTTGAATCACATTGTGTTACAACCTACAGATCACGATAAGGCTGGATACAATCTTTTAAATGCATATCTACAATCAAACTTGCCGAGCAGCCGAGGTGAGAAAATAAAATTCAATAGGTTTGTTTCATGTTCAGACTTTGCAAAAGATGGAAGAATTTCTTTGCAATTGTCCAAGCAAAACAACTTAAAAAGCATTCCTGAAATAGGAATGACATCAAATTTACTGACCGTTGCGTGAGAAATTGACAGGGAACTTTGGCTCTGCTTTGAAGGCACTATTTTGTTACCTTGTATGCGTTCCGATTTCTGAATTTTTAGTTATAGAGGCTACACTAGGTATCAATGCAAACACATTTACACTAACATAACATAACCATAAAAATCATTAAGAACAGCAAGATGCGAAGTGAAATACAAACCCTTGTGAAAACTTAAATTAACTCATCTTACAGCACAGAATACAAGAAATATAAAGAGGCCAACTTCAACACATCCAAAATTTGGTAAATAATGTGAAATCACGTTAGGAATCAAACAAAGAACAAAAAATATGCCGACCTGGTTATGAAAACGAACACTGAACTCACTAAGAAAGCAACCAAAAAAAGTACCAAAGTCCAGAAGGTAAAAGTAGGAAGCAAGATGATAAATATATGAACAAAACTTCAATAAAATGAAAGGAATAGAAATGAATCGACAGGGAAAGAGTTCACTTTACCAAAAATCTCGAGTACTTTTGCTTGTTTTCAAGCTTATAAGCTGTTTGCTTTATTGTCTCACAGAAGTTTTTATCAGGAAGGCACCTCTTATAATTTTGATTTGAATTACATACTCTAAATGGGCCTGTGCCAATTATAGTAGCACGAAAATTTCGGATCATGCTGATATCTATGGTCATTTTGCAGGCCCAAATCAACCCAATGTCGTGGAAATTGGAATGGTAATTTTTTGTGGAAATTACACGACCGAGTGTTTTTAAGATTTCAATTGGTAATTGAGAATTACGAGTTTTTTTTTTTTTTTTCAAAAACAGATATAATTAAATTTTAATAATAATAATAATAATATTATAAAAATTATTTTATATATCTACCCCACTCATTATCTACCCTCCAAAATCCTAATTATTTCTCTTTACCTTCCACTATCGCCGGCCGCTCTTCATTCTCTTTACCTTCCACCATCATCGACGAGACGTTCTTTCTCTCCCTTCACTCTCTAGACATCTCTAGCGACGGAGGTTGCAGAGATCTATTGCTGTGATGATTTTTTTCTCATATATATTTGCTTCTAGTGTGCCTAGTGTATCTTTGCATGCCAGTTTTACACTATCCATTGTGGAGCGCTGATTTTCACATAGGAGGTGAAAAAGTGTCGGAGGACGAAAAAAATATATGTATTATGTATATATGAAATTTTTTTAAGTCCGTCCCCCATGTAGCTTCACCATTGATCACTTCATGATGTAAAATATATCCTATATCAGATTATAAGCTAGGAAAATGTGGGTTTTGTTTCTTCCTTCATTACATTCAATTTAAATATGGATGGAGATCATTTTATATCATGGAGGTGGAGGTGACCATAGAGTCCAGGTTGATGGTCACGTGCTGAAGGGAAGTCAGACAGGTATTGGATGTGATGGATGCATATCGAAGGGGTAGTAATATTGGCAAAATTTTCTAATTAGAGTTCTCTTATGTTCTGCCTTATTAGAATTGTAATGTGGGGCAAGGTGGGAGTGTTCGTGATCAAATATTTGATTGATTGTGACTTAAAAAATATGATTGTGAGTTATAATTTATTAAATTGTGATCGAAAAATAATTTTTGATTAATTAATTTGATAATTTGTGATCGTTAAATAAGTAGTAACTTATTGATTTGAAATGAATAAATAAATTGTGACTTATAAAATTTTTGATTTGTGACTGATGAATAAATTGTCACTTATAAATTTTTTTAATTTGTGACCGTGAAATAATTTGTGACCTATAAAATTTTTTATTTGTGATCAAGAAATATTTTGTGATCAATTAATTCAATAATCTGTGATCAAATTGTATAGAATTGTGAGTTTAATATATTTAGTTAATAAAATATATTTTTAATTGATTATTTCGTAAATAATTTTTAATAATATTTGATTTTTGAAGTTTTAAGACTTGTTTCTTAGTTTTGAAATAGGTTATAGCTAACCTCTCGGATATGAAATTTTTCCTAATTTTTTTCCAACATAATGAATTTAACAAAATAAATTAAAATATATCGAGAATTAGTTAAAAAAGGTAAATTTGTTAACTTCAAGAACTTTTTATGTATGTGTGTTTATTTTCCGACATTTTTTTTTTTGGTTAACGAAATATGAGTTATACATGATTATAAAATGAATAATGTTATCTAACACCAATTTAGTTAGCAGCATATCATAGGTCCTATTAAATGTACCATAATTTCTTGTATTTAATTGAAACTATAATTTAATATCACTACACTATCACCCAAACTAATGTTAAACGCCAGTAGTGGTAAATAATATTACTCTTTTTATTAGGCATAATTACTCTACCCTTGTTTGTTGCCATTATTTCATCAAAATGAGTTGTAATAGTAATTTTTTTGAAGAATATAATTAAAAAGTAGAAAAAAAGTTATGAGTTCACCTACAAAATATTTTATTACAAGAATATGTGATTAAAAATGAGTTTGAAAAAAAATAAAATCTGAAAATAATGAGAATCAAAACGTTCTTATACATCGATTTCTTCAAATTTAAAAATTACACTTTTTTTAATTCTTTAAATTTTATGCTACGCCTAGATAAAGCATTTCGAAAAATCTCTCTATTTTTAATTGTATAAAACACAAAACAAAATAAAATTTGTTTTACTCTCTCTTGACCTTTTCAAACCCTAACATCATAGTCACTCAAACCCTCACACCATCACTATCCCCATTGGTTAGCGCAACCGTTGTTGCCAAAAGATCTGTCCATATCGAATTTAAAGGACACCTTCGCCACCAAGCCATTCCACCAGCAAAATTCTTACATTTTTTTTTTATTTTTTTTGGGATCGAGGTCGAGGATATAATGAAGAATTTCAGATAATTTTCATATCTAAGTCGATTTATATTTAAAAAAATAAAATTCAAACCTAAAGCCCATGCATTGTAACAAAAAAATTTCTTCTCCAATATCAAGGGCGACAATGACTAGCAACTCCTTGAATACCAAAAATTGCAATCTACAAGCAAAATAAACTAGATCTTCAAATCCTTCCCTTATTAGATACTCTCCATTTGGATCATTGATATTTGTCAAAAGAGTACAATATAATATTTTGTTGAAATTCTATTGAAAGCAGCAATATATGTCAATCATTGATAGAATCAACGATAAGAATGGCAAAAAAATCCATTCAATCCGATGCATGCGACCCTATCCCAAATAGGGTGGGGATTACCCACCTAATCGGGTAAATGAAGCCGGGATGGGATGGGACTAGACGAGGAGGGGTGGACCAGCGTTGTTGCCCTGAAGCAGGTACGAGAAATATAGTTCTCGTGCCTGCTTCATGCGCCCCTTAAAAGTTAATTTCAGATTTTATTTTTTATCAAATAAAAGTAAAAATATTTATCATCATTTTAAATAGAATATGGATTGCTCTTAATAAATTAAAAAATAACAATAGTATTCACTAACAAAAAACATAAAAAAAAAAGAAAAATAACTAAAATAAGAAAATAAACAGGACTGGGACCTTCGACCCGATCGATACCAGTCCCACCTCGCTTTAATCGGATATGGAGATGTGGCAATATGACAAAAATTCTAGACGGGGCAAGGGACGAGAATGGTCAACCAAAGCCATACCCGCCCGGTTGCCAACCCTAGTTATTGAAATGTAGTTGATTTCTAGGTAGCGATGGGTGGTGGTGCATAAAGACTGGTGGTGGGATGTTAATGGTGAACATGATAGGTGTGGAATAGTGTTGAAAGGCTAAAATTATAGATTTTATGATGTGGTTGTGGCTTGAGGAATTTCATTGTGACAATAATAAAATACTGTGGTGGCAGTGATATCATTGTTTTAAATTTTCTATTAAATTGTTAGTGTTGGTGCCGTGAGCGCCAATGGTGTTTGAACGTGATGGTAATTGTGAAAGTAGTATTTTGTGTTATTGGTAATACAATATATTCTTAGGTAAAATTTGGATTGTAATTGTAGATAGTTGTCCCTTTAAAAATGGGTGCTAGTCAGGGAAAAGAAGTGAGGTTGGTTGTGGGTCAGGTGGCACGATGGTGGTAGTTACTTAGTATTTTACTTTATTGTAACAGTAAATTACTAGGCAAATTTGGATTGTGAATGAAGATAGTTGATCGTTCAATTTAAAAATGGTGTCAGCTAGGTAAAAGTAGGGGGTGGTTGTGTGTGGCGTGCTAGTATGGATGGTGCAATGGTGATACTAACGCGATATGTTACTTTATTGTAACGGTATATTACTAAGCAAATTTAAATTGTGAATGAAGATGGTCGTTGAGTTGAGAAAATGGTGCTAGTTGGAGAAAAGAAGTGGCAATGGTTGCCGGAAATATAGTACGTCACTTGAATGTAATAGTAACTTACCGGCCAATTTGGACATTGAAGAAGATAGTAGGTCATTGAGTTGAGAAAATGGAGCTAACTGAGAAAAAAAGTGGGAGATGGTGGTGGGAATACAACATGTTACAAATATATAGCATGTTATCGAATAGAGAAAATAATGCTAATTGGGGTAAAAAATGATTAACACTAATAATTACTCCTCATTTGTATACTTAGTTTCCTTATTTTTTTGGTCCCAGTTATATAACCATGTTTCTTTATTGAGTTTCTTTTATTTTGTTCGTTTACTAATATACATTATTTAATTTGTCTAGTTATAACCAATTTTTCTACTTAATCTTGAAATTATACAAATATAAATAAAGGTAAATTAGAATAGTTATTGGTAAAAATTGCTTTTTCAATAATATTATATAAGATTTCTTAATTCGTGTGCAAAACAAAACAAGTGTATATAAATTGGACGGAGAGTGTTTCTTAATTCGTGTGCAAAACAAAACAAGTGTATATAAATTGGACGGAGAGTGTATGTTATTCTACAAATAACACAATACCATATACATTAGTCTACAATTAAAAACTAAGGGTTAATAAAACAAAACATCCCTACGTTTGACACTTATTGCAGAAAATATCCCTACGTTTTATTTTTTTTCCTTTTCGCCCTTATTTCAATGTTTCATTGCAGAAAACGTCATTTTCACAATTTTTGAATGTAAAATGATCAAAATACCCTCCTATTTAAATAAAAAAAAGAAAAGAAAAATAAAGAATAAATTGCATTCTTACATCTAAATGTTTTAAAAAGTGTAAGCGAGTCCAAATAATTAGTAAAATGCCTAATAGTACAAAACGTCCCTACGTTTGGCTTGCAGTGTGTAAAACGTTCCTACGTTTCAAATCGATGAAAATGACGTTTTCTGCAATGAAACGTGAAAATAAAGATGAAAATGCAAAAAAAAAAAAAATTTGAAACATATTGACGTTTTCCCCAAGAAATGTCAAACATAGGGACATTTTCCAAAGTGTCAAATGTAGGGACATTTTATGCTATTAAGTCTTATTAAAATTAAAACCATTGTCAAACCGCATAACCTCCATACCATTTTCAAAATACGATCCCCCAAACTCCAGTAGCACTACCTGTTCCGAAGATATCCATGACGTATCTAACACACCAATCGACTATACGTCAAATGTTTGAAAAAGGAAAGTTTATGCTAGGGTTCTGAAGTTTTGGACGTGATTTGGTGCCGTAATTTTGTTGAATTATGATTTGGATTGTCGAATATATATATATATATAGATTTTTTTCATTTCAAATGAT